CCAATATGTTATGCAAATATTGTGCAGTTAAAGCCATTAGAGCTTTGAATAAATATTTTTTTTGGCAGTCACACATCATTAAATGACTTGTTTTGGGATTATTGGCCTCAGCAGCCTTTGTACCTACATTTACTGTAAAAGCAAGCAGACCTATACTATGTGTAATCTGTTAAGACAAAGCTTGGACTCCTATGTTGATAACCAGAAAGGTTTTCAGGCATTGTCATGACAGAATCTACATGGTTATGTTTTTTTTGGCCTTTTTTGCCACACTGCCATGATCACCACCAATATTGTCATTATAGTTGGATAAAAATTTTCATTATACATCCTACACAATCCATTGATATTATAATTATTATTATTGGTGATTTAGTGTTTTAACGTTTTACCTTGATAGCAATTGCCATTGTGTTGTGAAAATTTGAATTTTAGGTAAGAGAACTTTGAATGGAAACACTGTCAAAATTATTTAAAAAATTAGTTATGTACTGTAATTTCACAATTTTGAAAAAAAAGTTTGTTTTTTGGTAACAATTTGTAACAGTTTATTGGATTGTGAGGTCAGACAAATATATTATATTCTGTCAAAGATCAGTAAACCTCCTTTACCTATATTCTGGTAAGATAGAGCTTAGTTTGGTTTCTCACTTGATAATCAGCCAATCAGGACAAAGCTTGTAGACTTCCCTGGTGATTCATGGCCAGATAAGGAAGCCATTCAAACCTTCTCTTGCTGGCATTAAGTTGTCCTTTGCCAGAGCACCAGAGGGGTGAAGACTGTGAAGATTGCTGTAATGGTGGGTTTCTCAACCAGTGGGTGCTCATACCCCTTGGGATAAGAGCACCCATTCCAGGGGGTGCGAGAAGCGTCCATCTTGATGACAGGCGATGAATCTATATATTACTTCCGAGCAGTTTTCCAGTTTTGATAAACTCATAACCAAGAAGCAGGGAAAAAAAGTCTTTGGATTGAAATTCATTTTAAAATATTTTAAAGTTCATTCTTTGATATTTTTTTATTTGTAGATATTTCAAGCAAGAGTGATTATTTGTAGATATCTTTTCTTGACCATATATTTGATTTTGTTAATATATTAGAAAATGAAAAAAACATCTTTTGTTGATCAAGTTTAATATAAATTCATCTCCCTTATCCTTAGATACTCTATAAATTTTAAGGGGTGCAAGGACACTGTAAAATTTTCTTAGGGGAGTGGATATTAAAAAAAAATATTGAGATCCACTGCTTTAATGTATATCACTAAACTGTTTTGTGAATTAAACATTTGGTTGGAATGTAGAGAATTTAGAGAAGGGAAGAATATCTCATTTGTCAGCCACTTTTGCTGTCTTGTAAACACTTACAATTCTCTATATGTAATAGTATTCATAAACATGGTATTAGTTTTCTTCTATCTCTGCTGTCTTAGTATTGATGATTATCATTAGTTTGGTTTAGTATGAATAATCCTCTTATGTCATCATGTAATTGACAAAAAACTGGAAAACATTTAGGCTAAATAAGAAAATAAAGTCATTTGAAGTCATTAACTGCTGGAAAAGATTCCCCATGAATTGAATTCAAATGGTTACATGCCATTAGTAATACTTCATAAACATGTGACATATCCTTTTCTTGAAGGTTGAGAAGTGTTCTGGTTTCTTTTATTTTTTGCTGTTATTTTGTGAAAGTTATTGCAATTTTGTTTCAGGTATTTCATGTGAATTATGTATATGCCATGTAAAATTCTCCCTTTTCCCCCTCCTTCTCACTCCATCCCCCTTTGCTCTCCCTCTCTCTTTCTCTCTCCTTCTCTGCTTCTCCTTCTTTCTCTCTCCTCTTACCCTTCTGCTCTCTCTCTCTCTCTCTCTCTCTCTCTCTCTCTCTCTCTCTCTCTCTCTCTCTCTCTCTCTCTCTCTCTCTCTCTCTCTCTCTCTCTCTCTTCTCTCTCTCTCTCTCTCTCTCTCTTCTCTCTCTCTTCTCTCTCTCTCTCTTTCTCTTCTTCTGTCTTTCTCTCTCTCTGTCTTTCTCTCTCTCTCTTTCTCTCTCTCTTTCTTTTTCTCTCTCTTTCTTTTCTCTCTCTTTTTTTTCTCTCTCTTTCTCTCTTCTTCTCTCTCTCTTCTCTCTTTTCTCTCTCTTTCTCTCTCTCTCTCTCTCTCTGCTCTCTTCTCTTTCTCTCTCTCTTCTCTCTCTCTCTCTCTCTCTTCCTCTCTTCTTCCTCTTCTCTCTTCCTTCTCTTCCTCTCTCTTCCCCCTTTCCCTCTCCTTCCCCTCTCTCTCTCTTCCCCCTCTCTTCTCTCTCTCTCTCTCTCTCTCTCTCTCTCTCTCTCTCTCTCTCTCTCTCTCTCCTCTCTCTCTCTCTCTCTCTCTCTCTCTCTCTCTCTCTCTCTCTCTCTCTTCTCTCTCTTCTCTCTCTCTCTCTCTCTCTCTCTCTCTTCTCTCTCTCTCTCTCTCTCTCTCTCTCTCTCTCTCTCTCTCTCTCTCTCTCTCTCTCTCTCTCTCTCTCTCTCTTTCTCTCTCTCTCTCTCTCTCTCTCCTCTCTTCTCTCTCTCTCTCTCTCTCTCTCTCTCTCTCTCTCTCTCTCTCTCTCTCTCTCTCTCTCTCTCTCTCTCTCTCTCTCTCTCTCTTTCTCTCTTTCTCTCTCTCTCTCTCTCTCTTCTCTCTCTCTCTCTCTCTTTCTCTCTCTTTTCTCTCTTTCTCACTCTCACTCTCTCATTCTTTCATTCTTGTTCTCATTCTCTCTTGCTCTCTCTCTCTCTCGCTCTCTCTCTTTCTCTTTCTCTTTCTCTCTCTCGCTCTCTCTCTCTCCTCTCTCTCTCTCTTCTCACCTCTCTCTCTCTCTCTCTTCTTCTCCTTCTATCCCTCCCTTTTTCTCTCCCTTGCTGTCAGTTTGCCTTATATGTTTTTTTTTTTTTACTTATCTACAGAAAGTAGAAAATGACGCGCATTGCCGCCCTGAATGACTGGTCCCTCGGGAGCAGTGAGGAAGAGGAGGTTGGGCCAACAAGGGAGGTTCTGGAGGCAGAGGCAGCAAAATGCTACAATGATGCTGTCAGATACTTGGCGCATGGACAGCTCGACCAAGCTCAAGAACAGTTCCTTAGGGTCATCAACAATCCTTATATTGAGAAAGTAAGTGACTGGGAGTTAGTATTGCCTATTGAGTTTTTTCAATGTGAACAGTTCTTATGGTAGATGTTATGTAAATGATACAGAGGTGATATGTTATTTTGATTTTTTTCTATGTGACAATTACTTATGGTAGATATGTTATGAGTGATTAATCTGATGCATAATCTGATATATTAATTTGCAGGCATGTTGGCCAGAGGGTATAGAGCCAGGAGGAGTCCTACCTCAGGACTTAGCGCTCAAGTACTCCTGCCTGAAAAACCTGGGTAACCTGGCAACAAGGAAAGGAGAACACCAGCAAGCTGTAGATTATTATTTAGAGGTAAGTTAGTTTAAATGCTTGTCACTTTGTATCTGTAGAGTACGTGCACGGTGATTTGATTGCTCTCTGTGGTGTTGAATATTTTAAGATGTTTTCAACTTGAATTGGACTTTTTTCTTCTTCTTCTTCATTTTTCTTTCTTTTTTAATGTGTTGATATTACACACTTGTTTATACCACTTTGTAAGGATTTTCTGGGTAAAAAAAGCATATTATCTTCAGTTAGTGTCATATGTTAGAACCTGACAAAACGAGTACTAACACTTGAAGGAATTTCTATGAAATTATCAGCATCTTTCTACAAATGCTGATGTAGTTACCATACAGAAAATATCCTAGAAAGCTGGGAAATTGATAAGAAAAAAAAAAGAAAGGACTGATGTTAAGAAAAGTCACCTGAAGGATTGTTATTAATAGGTTGTCTGGTTTTGATTTAAATGGTTTATAGATTATTGAGGTGGATGGACTTGAAAGAGCAAGTAGGTTATTCTACAAAAATTGGGATTAAAATGTGTCAGTTTTGTACCTTCGTTTTCACTTACTTTTTATTTGTTTTTCTTAAATATGTAAGTAGTGTATAAAAGGCTATTTTTAAGTTTTACTGCTGCTTTTTACATGAAGGTATGACATATGACTTAGTAATAAAAAGGGAAAAAATCTTAAAATCTTTCTGCATATTTGAGAAAAAAAAGTGAAAATTGATGTAAAATCAGTTGGGTCTTACAGATTACAGACAGCTCAGACTTATTAGAAAATAACAAAAATGTTCATAAACTCAATTTTTTTTGTTTAATGCTTACAAATGTTTGATTATATAAAATGAAAGGATTATTTGAAAATGTTCCTTTGTTGATCTGTAATTTTATTGCTTTTCCAGTAGTGCAATCAGATGTTACATTGTTTTTAATCATACAGAGTTTTTTAGTTCCCAGAAATATTATTATTTCCAATATGTCACTCCTTATAATGAGTCACTGGTCTGTGTAGAGTATTGAAGTGCTTGGAATTTGAACCCTATTTCTGATGGATTACTGCCTATTTTTGCTTGTTTCTTTTTGTTTTATTTAAGGCTTTATTCAGGTTTTACAAACTTGGCTGAATCTTTTCCAGGCTGTGAGATTAGACCATACAGAAGTAACACTTTGGCAACGTCTTGGTGCAGCGGCAATCAAAATTAAGGACTTTGAGCTGGCGTTAGTTGCCTTCCAAGAGGTATGTTGGAAATGTGTTTGTGTCTGAAAGCTTTAATTTCTTTGTTTGATGTCTGTTAGATGGATCCTGGTGGTCTGTTCCTTTTTTTTTTTTTTCTTTAATAGAGTAAAAAGAGTAAGTCTCAGTTTATACTGTCTGAGAGTATAGGTATTAAACTTTTCATTTTTTAGAAGAATGGGTTTCTAAGATCTAATGTTTTTTTTTTCTAGAAATTAATTGAGTTGTAAAGAAAGGAGGGTACTATACCCATAAAATTTGATGATGCTTAAAGAGTGCATAAGGAATGACAGACTTTCATTGATATCCATTTTTTATTTCGTTCACAGGGTCTCACAGTAAATCAGAAGCATTGGCCATGTCTGGATCAGTTGCTGTCCGTTCTTTTCATCCTTCAAATGTACATGGACTGCCTTGGTCTTATTATCAATGCTCTCCAGCGTGATCCAGGTTATATAAAGGCCCATGCTTTCAAAGACAGAATATTTGAGCTTCAGCCGTCGTTGCAAGAAGACGTGAAACACTTCTTTAGTAACAGGTAAGGAGAATCGAGAAAATTTTGATCTAATATGGATTAGATATTTCATGTTTTTTGTTTTTTGTTTTTCAAGGAATTTATAAGATATTAGAACTAATAAAGATATGAAACTATATTTTAGAACTTCTGTCAGGTGATTATTCCTTTCTTAATATTGCAGTTCCCTTTTATTCAAAACTGTGGAATATGACAAAGAAAAGGGCGACAAATTTATAGCAACTTGTGAATCACTTCGTCCTCCAAACAAGACTCCCCGACCTCCTTCTCCACTCCAACTCCAGATGTTGCGCAAGCCACTGCCGAAGCTGTCCTGGGAAAATCTAGCACAGTCACTAATTACAACTTACGATGAACTCATTGAAGCAAATCCCATGGTAAATAGAGTGTCTCTCTTGCAGTTGTGTTTTCTATCTTTAGTCAGCCTGTGTGATCAACATGATCTGTAATATGTAATTTATAAATGGCTTTACAAAGTATTATTTTAAGGTCATAGATAGATATTTATCATATTTTTTGGAATGTTTGATTCCTCATATTAAGATAAGGAGAACAAGACTCTGATTTATGTTATTCTTCTATCATTGAAAAGCTTAGATGATTTAGTAGTATTTATTGGTAAATGGTTGAGCAATAGTACAAAATGTATGTGTAAAGAAAGAATAGCATAGTATTTGAAGAGATAGATCAGATTAGTTGGAGAATAATGTTAGAATTCTATGATTTTGTATTATCTAAACACTTTGGAAAGATATTTTTACATAGATTTTTTTAAGCCATTCCATAATAGATTTATAATAATTGCTCTCTTTCTGTAGGAATTTGCTGCAAAAATTGACCTTTTTGAGGCACTTAAACGAAAGGATGACCAGCCTGAAGATGACCAAGAAATGGAGATAGAAAATGGAAAATTTGCTGAGGAAGTTGATGGTATTGAGAAGATATGCAATGGAGAGGATAATGAAAACAAAGAAGGCAGTGAAAATTCAGAACGGAAAAAGTTGGCAAATGAAGATGAGAAGAGTGAGGCAGGGAGAGACGAAAAGAGCAACCCAGTGACCAAAGGGACAGATGGATCGCAGTCAAGCCCTCCGCGCATTTCTAGTCGTCGACAGACAATTGAACTAGGGGAGAGCCAAGATTCTTTCCGAGTAAGTGAGAAGAGGAGGTCAGTTGATAGTGATACCTTCTCGAAATCTGAAGATGAGTTAAAGTTGAATGAAGACGGACAAGAAAAAGAGGCAAAGACAGGGGACAGAACTGAAGAAGCAACAGGTGTTGTTAAATTAGAGGTAAATGCAAATAAAGAGAATAAAGACTTTGTTGAAGATTGTGTGCCAAGCAAAACATCTGTCAAAAAATCCAGCATTTCTGGAGTCAAAGAAGAACACAAAGAAAGTCCTCAAGATGGAGTGAAGAAAGAGAATAGTGAATCAGAAAGAACAGACCTTGTTGATTCTTCTCAGCATTCAAGGTCAAGAAAGCACAGTGAGGTTGAAAATGAATTTGAAGGCTTTGAAGAAAGCAAAGAAAATGTAAAAAAAGAAATGGATTCTAGTGAAGCAAAAACTCAAGTGTTAGATGCCCAAAAAATGTGTAATGAAAAACTGCAAGAAAGTTTGAATAAAGCAGACTATGACATGCAAAAAGAAAGAAAAGCAAGCTCTGCTGCATTCCAGGAGACAGACAATACCAATGAAAAGTTTCCTGAGAGAGAGGAAAGGAGGGAAGAGGTTGAAGAGAAAGCTCCACTAGATGCGGAGAAGAATGGCCAAAATAGGGAAGAAAAAGGTGAGCCCCCTCAGACTGAAGAGGAGGAGGAGGAGGACAGAGATGATATGCAAAAGCAGGCAAACCAAGATGGAAAGAGTATGGATATGTTAGAAGATATGGAGAATCTTAATCATGAGAAGGATGGAACTTCTCAAAATGAGGGCATTGAACTTGATAATGCTAATGGGATCTGTGATGAAGAGGGACTTTTAGACAGAACCACATTAGAAGAAGAAGTAGGGATGGAAGAGCAAGGGGAAGAAATAGGAGATGATGGAGCAATAGAAAATGTGGAGATGTATCACGAAGAAGAGGAAGGACTAGATGAAAGTGAAATGGAACATGGAGTGACTGAAACAGAAGCTGCTGTTAATGCTTTGAAAGGGATAATGGCTCTCCAGCCTACTGAGATCCTTGGCCTCCCAGAGCCGGATTTTGTATACGATACGGAGTATGTAGAGTACTTTGATGGTGGTGTGTATGAAGAAGATGAAGAATTGGACCAGGAAGGTATTGATCATGAAGAAAACATGTGTGAAGATGAAGCAATGGAACAAGAGGGAATGGAACAGGAGGAGCATCATGAGGCTCATGACATGCAGGGTGATGTAGATCAGGAAGGGATTGATCATGAGGAAGAGGAAGCCATAGAGCAGGATGGAATGGATCAGGTGCAAGAAGAAAGCCAAGGAGATCAGAATATACAACAAGGCCAAGAAGTTGTCTCTGAAGAGGTAAGTACTGGTCAAGATGATAATCATGAAAATCATGAGGGACAGGCAGACATTGATCAAGAGTGTGTTGAGCACCAAGAAGCTGTTGGAAATGAGGAATGTGATCAGGAAGAGGATATTGAAGAGGATATTGTAGAAGATGGCAGCCATGAAGATAATGTGGAGCAAGAGGAAGATATTGAACAAATGGAAGGTACTGATCAGGAGGATGAAATACATGGACAGGAAGAATGCAATGAACAGGCAGGAGAAGAGGAAGTGCATGACCAAGAAGAACACCAGGACCAAGAAGGAGAAGAGGTCCATGACCAAGAAGATGAGGAAGAAGAGGAGGAAGAAAATGAACAAGAAGAACCAGCTCCTGCTGAGGAAGATTTGGAAATGCAGGAGGAAGCTAATGAAGAGTATGATGGGAATGAGAAGAATGAAGAAACAGAAGATGGGGAAATGGAGGAAGAAGAAGCTGCAGAAGAAGAACCAGGTAATGAGAGCCAGGAGGGAGAAATAGTAGCAGAGGCAGAAAAAGAAAAGGAGAAAGATGATGTTGAAGATGAAAAAGAGGAAGATCCAGTCAGAAAGATAGAAGATGAGAATAAAAATTCAGAAGAATCCATGGAAAACCAGGAAGAGCAGCTCAAAGAAAAGACAGACAAAGAAAACAAAGTAAGTGACATGGAGAAAGCACAAGCTTATACAACCGACGAAAACACAGCATCAGAGACAGATAAAGCAGGTGAGGTTCGGACACCAAGGAGTACAGCAAGTGGGAGGAAGCCAAGGCGGCCCAAGCGGGGTCTGGAGAGAGAATTGGAACAGCTTGACTACTGGGGCAGACGACTAGAACGGGATGCCAAAAGGCGACGAAGGACCATCTCTTCTAAGTTGCTTGGAAGTGTGGAGGAAGCAGAATATTTGACCTGGGCAGATCTGCTGCGTAGTTTTATTCCCAACTCACTTTTGTAAGTTGAAAGCTTGATTTATATGAGATGGTCATTTTTGTATGATAGTTGTTTAGAATTAGATCTCAAGAAGAATAGTGGATATTTTGTGTGCATAGGTAATTTTATACTTTTTCATTATCATTTTTGTAAAGCAGAGTATTGAATTAGCCTTTCTTTTTATTGAATCTAGGACCTTCAAGAAAAATAATGTATAACATAGTTACTATTTTCTGTTTTTGTATGAATTCAAGCTAAATTTCTTGCATTTTTAGATACCAAACCAAATTAATTAGAAATAATGTAAACTATTGAATTCTTCCTTACAGGACAACTAACCCAGATGCAAAAAGGAAAACTGGTCCTGATGCCCAGCCTGTTAGTAACTCATCTAGCCAAGATTCCAAATTTCTAGTTCCTTCAGTGGAGCAGTCTCAGAACTCCAAATCAGTTCCGATGGCTAATCACTTGGCCTCATCCGCTTCAGTTTCTCAGCCATCATTTAATAAGGAAGCTGAGGTGAAGACAGATATGAGTTCAGCACCTACGAAAGTTCAAGGTGAAACCCAGAAGACAGATACGAGTTCAGCTTCTGCGAAAGTTCAAGGTGAGACCCAGAAGACAGATACGAATTCAGCTCCTGCGAAAGTTCAAGGTGAGACCCAGAAGACAGATACGAGTTCAGCTCCTACGAAAGTTCAAGGTGATTCTGGGTCATCCAAGACTCTGAGTGCAGATGCAGTTAATTCTGAGGGTGAAGATAAGAAAGAAGTGTCAGCCAGTAGTTCACCGCAAGAACCAGAGAAAAGTTTGACTCCCGTAGTTAAATCTACAACAGAAGAACCAAAGAAGGAAGGAGCAGAAATTGCTGAATTAAGTTCTAGTTCATTAAAAGCACAAGAAGGGGATGAAGGCAACTTATTGGAAGACAGTGGAAAGAAGACGAAGGATGTAGCAGATGCGGAAGACAGAAAAGACAGTGGAAAGAAGACAAAGGATGTTGCAGATGCGGAAGACAGAAGGTTATCTGTGGATGATAAAGAGGATAAAGAAACTGATATGGAAGTTATTGAAGATAGCCTAGCAACAGTGAAAAAGAATCGCAAAGAAAAGATCTTTTCTTCATCAACAGAGGAAGCACAAGTGAGTTTCAGTGTTAACTGTAACTATTGTACAACAATATGTATGAATTAATTATCTTGTGCTCTGAAGTGCTTCAAGAAGTATTTCTATATATTTATGCTGTTGCTTAGATAATTTATTTTCAATGGTTCTTAATGAAGTGTAACAAATCTAGTAATTGATTAATTTTTCAGCCTAATAACTCTATCAGAATTTATATAGAATGGTCAGAAAGAGCCTGTGTTTTATGTATACACCTGTATGCATACTTATCTTCAAATTCTTTTTTCCTCTAATATTACAACAGGTGGAAGCATTTATGCTTTATTATGAAGAGAATGGAGGCATCCTACACCTTCTTCAGCAGTTTATGCTTGTTCTTTTGAAACGGTATGAGCACAAGTGGCCGGCTGCAGCTGCTAAAATGTACACAGAGATATATCCTAGAGTGAGGTTAGTTGATCAAAGGCAGTTATTTGTTATGAAGTTGGGGAATCTTGTAGAACACTTGAATCTTTTACTTTTTTTATGAATATTTGCCATTTTACTTCCCTCTCTTCCCTTTATTTGCCTTTAGGATTTGGTTATTACTTAAGAATTTCTTTGTGTCAGGTGTTCTGTTTTCTTGCCTTTTCGTGATTTCTTTTGAATAGCGATTTTTTAAAGTATTGCATTACTTTCATTATTTTTCTTCAGGTTTTTGTGGGAAAATTTAATCTAGTGTTTTAGTTGAGAAGAGTATAGATTATAGTTTCCATATGTTATCAACTTAAAAGATAGTAGGAGAAACAGAAGACAGAAGTCATTATTGGAATTTTACATCAGTAGCTTTATTATTCCTTAATCTTTATAAGGTCAGTGCTGCACGACAATTAACAAATAGGTGTTATGTTATACTCCAATCAACCATGTGTATTATTATGGTTCTTGACATGTTTTTACTTGCCGACAGAAACCATGTGTTTCATATCCCCGCCCTTAGCATGAAAGAAGATTGCAGACAGCTTTATCAAGACTCCATGATCTCGCTTACACATTGGGAACTGATGGTCAGCCTTTATCAAGCATCAAAGCTAAACACTCCCGTCAAGTAAGTTTCATTTTTGATTGCGCGTTGGTGTGGTATCAAATTTGGTAGAAAATCTTTTAGCATATTGAAGTAAGGGGATGGAAATCATAGACTTTGTCTTTGGTACTTTGCTGACTGTGGTAAACCATGTGGTAGTATGTACTTGGTATGTGTACTTTGTTTTTCAGAGATCAGAGCACTCTTCCAAACCCCTTTGTTGATAGTCCCGAGCATCTTGAAGACGACATGCTCCACCTGACGCTTATGCTCGGCCGTGGAGACGTCTGGATGGAAGAGACCCCTCAGTTTCATACGAGGTTGCGTTGGCTTCAGGCCCAGTTGAGGCTTTGCAGCGGGAAGTCAGAGGATGCGGCAATTTATATGGAATTGGTTAGTGATGGGGAAGCAAGTGCTGTGTCTTATTTATTTATTTTTTTTTTTGTTTGTTATTTTTTACATATTTGCCATCTGCCATGATCTGAAATTAATGATGCCTTATATCTTATTTTATTTTATTTTTAGTATTGGTATTGCAATAAATATTGGACATATATTTTGCTTTTTTTTTTTTTTTAACATCTGAGGAAAATTAATAACTATATTTTTGTCTCTGGTACTTTACAGCTTTTGTCAGATCTTGAACGTTTGTCAGATAATGGTGAGGAATATGTTGTTCAGCGGACTTGTGTCATGGATGATCAGAGTGTGGTATGCAATTCTGAAGTTAAAAGGCACCTTAACCTTCTGCAAAGGTTTGTTGGTTGATGTTTGTCGTTCTTGGTAGAGAGTTAAAGTATATTGATTGTTTATGCTATGGCTTATCTTCCAAATTTTATAAATGGAAAGTCTATGTAAATGTATGTTACTATGTATTTATGTATCCATAATTCACAGTTTGAGTACTTGGTATAATTATTTTCATTTTCAGATCGCAGATGTTGGAGCAAGTGGTTGACAATTATACAGATGGACGTTATAGGGTGGTGGCAGATCTCCTTATAGCCATCTTTCACGAACCACTTCCGAAGGCTCGTCCTGGGGTCACATTGCCAACCAGACAGACGCAGCTTGTTATCCTCATTGATTCGCTCTTTAAGCTGAATGACCAGAAGGTCTGTAACATTATTTCTGATCTCGATTTTCTTGATAGTCACAGAACAATAACACTGATAATATTATGCAGAGTAAAAATGTAAATGTAGATGAGGTTAATGTACATGTGGTTAGTAAAGTAGACATATGTTTTATCTGAGTGTATTTAAGAATTTATATATTTTTTTGCAGGGTGTGATAACGTGGGGATCGCACGCTCTGACAGAAGCTTTGAAACGTTTCAATCGTGCAGAAGCAGAAGAAGAGAAAAACAGGTGGGCAAAGACCCTTATGAAAATTACTGAGCGTTCGTATACGACAATTACAAAGAATGCTGGTGTAGGTAAGTGATTGAGATTAACTTCATTGTTTTAATGTTATTACAGATATAAGAGAATATTCATGCACATATATTTATTTATATATACTCTGTGTATGTATGATGTATATATAAATCCATATACATCTACTGTATATATCTGTGTTTTATGTATGTATACATATGTTTCCATGGGGCATATGTCAAATAAAGTTATATAGATATTGAATACAAAGGAGATTTTTCTTTATTTTTTCAGTGGAAGAAGTTGCGCATGAAAATATAACCCAGATGGTCTCCACCTTGACGCTGATGTTAGTGATCCAGCTGGAGAAGCCACAGAGTGCAGAAGACCTTCCTTTTGATACGCTAACTCCCTGGATCCTCTTGCATAGGATCTTAACGTATGAAGAGCGTCGTCAAGAGAAGATCAGTAAAACAAAAGATCCTAAGGGGGTTCTGGACAAGAAAGCGGAAGAGAGTGCCAGAAAGGAGACAAGCAGTGATAAGGATTCCAAGGAAGAGAAAACGAATGATGAGCAAATGGAGGTAGACATCACAGGCAGCGAAGGGAGCAGCGAGAAGTCAGGCCAGAAATCGAACGAGTCATCCAAGCCTTTAGATGCTAGCTCTGAAGTCCAAGAAGAGAGTGACAAAAGCGAAGTGGCAGCAGAGACTAAAATAGAAGGAGTAAATGAAGAGTCCGCAAAAGTCGAAGAAACCTCTTCTACAGCTAAGGGTCCAATAGGGCCATACCCCTCTAGCCTCTTCTTAATTACTGCCCACGATGAACTTGGCAAGTAAGTCTTGGTAACACTTGATTTTGTTGAGGTTATGATGTTTTACTGTACATGGATGATCTATGTAAGGACTTTCTTTCGAGATATAAAGATTTTTTTCTGATGGATAGTTTCCATGAAAATCAGTTTTCAATTGTCTTATATTGATACTAGCTTCATTATTTTATTTTGACCCTCACTGTCAAAAAACTAAAGGATGAAGAGTTGTCTTTAGACAATGAATAACTGATGCTAAGTAATTCAAAGAACAAGTGCAGCTGAACTTGATGTTCAGTGATGTAAGGGCTATGCTTACTAAATAGGATTGTTTGTGACAAATGTAGAAATAGTATAGATAATGTCAAAAAGTCTGTTTAACTTTGTGTTATTATTCTTTGTTATTTTTTATCTATAACTACTAGCATTTTAACTTATATATCACATCTCAGTTATTTGTTTTTCTGTTTTGTTGTAATTATTACTATATTTTAGGCTTGTATATTTCCTGGTATTTTACCTTATTATACGATCAGATCACAGTTACTTGCCTCTCCGTCATGTTATACTGTTTTTCTTTTTCTTTAGGCATTCCTGGTGCTGTGCAGATGACGGTGTGTTCTTGCTCTACTGCTTAGACGTCTTAATCGAGGAGCTGAATCGACCAATCGAAGGCCAGCACAGGCAGCTTTTACACCATGCGCTTGAACAAGTATCCTTCTGTCTCTATTCCCATCCTTCAAAGAAGTCAAAGGTAACTATCAAAACAATTGACTTTTGCTGGGAATTTTTGTGTGAGGTGTTGGCCAGTGTCCTGGCTGTAAGGATATTGCTGTCTCTTTGTTCACTTTCTGAGTATTCTGCTGAGGGAGATTTCTTCTTCTTCTTCTTCTTCTTCTTCTTCTTCTTCTTCTTCTTCTTCTTCTTCTTCTTCTTTTGCATATAAGCGTACTTTGTGAATATACTCACATACCTTTGTAGTCACTTATATCACTTATTAACATTGATAATAATTTTTAGAATTTGTTGTTATTTATTTACTTACTTATTTTATTTCCAGCACAAACATCTTCGCGACCATGGAGTTCCTCAAATTGCCCTGTGCTGGGAGAGAGCACTTCAGCTGTATCACTATTATGTTCCGAAGGAGTTGCCAACCTTCCAGTCGTCACAGATACCATCCATTACAGATGATGTGGCAGCATTGTTTAAAAGGTCCTATATCGTGCTTTTCTGTTTTTAGCTCCATAGTTTTGTTACTACTGATTGCTCTTTTATTTGTTGATTATGTCAAAGGCTTGATTATTTGGTAAGAATAGAAATAAGGAACCAAAACATTTCCTCATAAAATTCCCTCATTTTTCTGTAAGCTGATGTTAGCTTTTCTTTTACTTACGCCAACAGAATTATTGCTCTTCTTCCTGACGAAGACAAACCAGAGAACCAGACAGAAGCTGTTGAAGCATACATTTGTGGAGGAAACCAGGAGTGTGATTTTGTTCCCTTCAAACCATCCACAGACATTGTTGATTGCTACTATCTGCTTGGTGATTATTACTTCAAGAACAAAGAGTGGACGAATGCCATCAAATATTACAAGCTAGATGTCTCTATCAATGTAGATCGACTGGACTCCTGGGCACCGCTTGGTTTGGCCATGAAAGCCATGCTGGAAACACAGCTAAATTCCTGTGAAGTGATTCAGGATGAGGAGGAATTTTTCTCTTTGGCACAACAAGCTGTGCAGTGTCTGAAGCAAGCTCTGAAGTTAGACGAGTACCACACAAACCTTTGGGTTGAGTTTGGTGGCCTTGTCTACATGGTCCATTCACATGCCTCTAGACTTCTGAAACAAGATCTGAATCCAGATATTAGCCTTGAAACATTTGAGATGCTTGAGAAACTAAAGGGTGATATGCTGAACGAGGCAGAGAGATGCTTCACTCAGGCCCTGAACATACAAGAGGAAGGCTGGGATGATGACAGCTTACCAGATGAGAGATGGCTGCACTGCTATATGCTGGGTAAAATTTCTGAGAAGCAAGGGAAGGCACCGCAGACCATATTGCAGAAGTATCTTGAGGCAAGTAAGCATCTCCATCAGATCCAAGCCAAGTATCCGGTGAAGATAAATTACAACAGCCCGCAAGAATATTCAGTGGAAGCCCTAGAAATGTACTACCGTGCTCATGCATACATGCTGAAGTACTTACTGCAGAGAGAAGGTAAGCCCGTTGATGAGGGTGTGATTAAGTATTTCATAAAGGTTTTGGATGAGCTGGCAAACGGACCATTTGCCAGTTGCCAGGAAAAGAAGAAGTCCAGTGACGACGTGAACGTGACAGTAGTTGAAGGAGAAGCTGGACAGGACAAAGCCAAGGAGCCAGCTGCCATGGAAGCATCTGACAAAGAGGGAGAGTCGAGGAAGAGGCCCTTAGAGGAAGATGGTTCTGCTAATGAACCGCCTGCCAAGAAGATGCTAAGTGGACAGGAATCTGAGGAAGTGAGATCTGTCATAAAAGAAGTGGTCAATGATATAATTAGCGATGCTGCTGCCAAGTCGGACGATGCTAAAAAGGAAGATGAAAGCAAGAAAGAAGGGGCAGTGAATGGCCAGGATGGAAATAAAGACAGTAAAGAGGCACCAGAGAAGACAGCAACGGAAAATGGCGAGGTTAAGGCAACAAAACCAAAGGATATGAAAGAAAGTGACGATGAGATCCTTGTGGTGGAAGAGAAAGTGATTGAGAAGAAGGACCACCTGACGGTCATATCTCGATGCCTGGCTGCACTAAAACTGTGCCTTTCTAGATTCCCTCAGCACTACAAGGCTCTTTACCGCCTGGCTCAGTATTACCACACATCAAAATTCCATAAGGATTCAGGCCGAGCACGCAATTATTTACTCGGCTGCGAATTCTGGCAGCGAGTTGGATACATGCCTGTGAATGGGTTGTTCAACGAGCGCAAGGTGTGGATCCAGCAGCCAAAGAACTCCAACTTGTTCCATGGGATCTGGCGCATCCCCAACGACGAGGTGGATCGGCCGGGGAGCTTTGCCGCCCACATGTACCGGTGTGTGTCAATTACCCTCGATATTTTACCCCAGATGAAAGATTTCTTCACCATTCTGGAAATAGCGCTGGCCTTGAAGAATTCGCCGGACAAAGACAAGAAATACTTGAGAGACAACGAGCGTGAACTCCTCTCGGAACACGCGACGCAGGTGGGATTGCAAGCCATGAAGGACAAGTACAAAGTGCTTTTCCAAGGAGCGTCGCCCGTGCACGGAAATCGTCGCATGGCCTTCCTTCTGGATGTCTATCGAGGCTACAAGCAAATAAGCAAGCACCTGCAAGGTTCAGAACCTCATCTGGCTAAGATGCTTTCAGAGGCGTATGTCGCATATAGAGGGTTGAAAGCAGATGGCCGTGCAAATATACTGAGGGAGGCGGAGTCGTTCTGTAATAGGAACCAGTACCTCCAGCACCGCGTCCCGACGACAGCAGTGGCCGGACAGGCTAGCAGAGGAGATGCTACGGGGACTCCCATGATCTCACGAAGAGGACGTCCCCCTGGAACAGGACGGGGACGAGGGAGAGGACGTGGCTCTTTTTACAGTTCTCGTCAGTCTGGCGACCTGCTGGCGGTGCAGCAAGCGTACAAGATCTACGAAAGCTTAATTCACGCACAGACACTGCTGAACAACAAGGATCTCGATCGGGCTTCGGCGTATACCTACCAGAAACAGCTGGAACATTATCAGACACAGTTACTGAAGTATTTGCATATACCAAGCGTATCTCAGTATTTCCAAGCCTCCTTGCAGGGACTAGGGACTGCGGCAGCCAAATTACCGCCCCCGCCAAAAGGTGCAGAAACCACCGTTGCTGCAGCTACCACTGCTGCTGCTGCTGCTCGTGCTGCAGTGCCAGGCACTGCTCGAGCCGCCACCACAGCAGCAGCTCAGTTACTTCCCACAATGAAAGAGCGAACAGGTCAGCCGTCTCAGTCAGGGGCGACAAAGCCTTCTCTGAGTGCCTTAGCTCAGAGGTCGCACGCTCATGGCATATCCATCACATCTGTCTCGGCTTCAAAACAGTCCACGTCGCCAGGGAAATTACTGAAGCCTAATATGTCAGTCACAGTTAGTCCGGCCAAGAGTGCTTGTCCGCCAGCGTTACAGGGTCGGGGTGATATATCAGTAGTGTCTGTCTCTCGTCCCCAAAGTAACAACAGGACAACCACAACCACCACGTCCCCGAGGGTTTCAGCCAGTGGGACAGTTACGGTCACACAGTCATCAACGGATAGCAGATCGATTACCACCACAATTAATACAAAGTCGATCACCACCACAACGGTAGGGTCTGTCCCGAAACTTCCCGCTGGAACCACGCTTACGAGACCTGGTGACTCTACGCCCCCCAAAGGGTCGGCGCCACGTCCTCAGTTGCAAGCACAAGCACGTCCTGTCAAGAACGTGTCAGATGTTCTTGATAGTTTGCCAGGATCAATGAGGAAGATGGCCGCGGAAATTCTTAGCAGCAGTGGAACCTCGGTGACCCGGGCAACAGTGCCAACGGGGACGCAGATTCGCACCTCCCCCGACAAGGCGAGCAGGCCGAGTGTGACCAAGGAAACGACGATCACTCCGGCTCCCCGAGTGAAGAGTCAGGGCCGTGGTCCGGGTCCGCAAGCGAAAAACCCGTCGTCATTCCTAGGGGCATACCAAGCATCCCTTGGCATCGCAGGAAGCAAAATGAGTGGAGCAGCCAGAGCGCCCGCGAGCACTGCGACGCCGAGCTCTGTTACGCTGGAGTCTGCCAGACGCGCCCAGCCTTCGCAGGCGGCCGGCAAAGCCCGTATTACGCAGCTGAATTCGTCGCAGTTGATGCACCTGGCGTACGGAGGAGCAGGGCGAGGCGCTGCATCAGATAACATCTCTGACCTGATAAGGGAAATAGCAAAGAACCAGCAGCCAGTGGGAGGCCATGGACGGGCTCAGGCAGTCACCGTTCAGAGAGCACAGGGCGTCGCTCTCCAGCGTCCTCAAACCTTACCAACCCAGAGACCTCCGCAGCCGAGACCCCTTCCACAGGCTAGACCTGCTCCTCCGCAGGCCAGACCAGCTCCTCCTCAGGCTAGACCAGCTCTTCCACAGGCCAGACCAGCTGCTCCTCAGGCGAGACCAGTTCCTCCTCAGGCGAGACCAGTTCCTCCTCAGGCGAGACCAGTTCCTCCTCAGGCGAGACCAGCCCCTCAAGTTCGAGCGCCCCCGCCCAAGCAACTCCAGAAGCCTAGCCCTCCGAAGCCCACGCAGTTTAAACCCGGCCAGGGAGGGGCGGCGGCCGGGTCAGACGATATAATAACGCTAGATTAACTCTTCAAAAATCGCTTTAAGCAGATTTTTTTTAGGTAGATGAATAGCTTCTTCTAGATGCAGAAGATAGCGATCTGTATATACGAATAGTTTCCGATTTTCGCCTTGAATTGTCTTAAAAACTGCTGTGAGAAGTGTTTTGTGTAATACATGCTTGATAATGATGACCTGTATGTAAGTCCTACACCCAGTGAATAATAAATGTAAGAACTATAAGCCAAAGATCGTATTATAAAACCTCGAATTGCATTATTCCAGCTTGAAATTAAGAGTTAAAGAGGAATCAACAAGTGTCTCTACCGGAGAATTATTATTTATCTATTTACTTATTTATTTATTTGTTTACTGAGTTTTTAAGGATTTTATAGTTTATCTGTCATCAGTATTCGACTATGAAAAAGGAAGTAGAATAATAACAAAGCTTTCACCAAAAAGTGACATGAACCAGCAGGAATTCAGTCATTGGCAATAAATAGAATTCTGAAGTATTGATGTTTATTAAGTTATTCAGACAGCATTGCCTGAAGTCGTCCCTCACTTTCGTTCACACATTTTACGATAGAGTTAATGTGTAAGCGACCGTACAAGTTACCGTGTTACAGCGTGTGCGTGTCTTTTGTTAAGAGTGTGTGCCTATATGTGTTTGTGTGTACAAGAGGAGACAGCAGTTTAATACAATAGTAAGCTTGTAGTTACTTTCTCTCTCTCTCTCTCTCTCTCTCTCTCTCTCTCTCTCTCTCTCTCTCTCTCTCTCTCTCCCTCTCTATCTATCTATCTATCTCTATCTATCTATCTATCTGTCTGTCTGTCTGTCTGTCTGTCTGTCTGTCTGTCTGTCTGTCTATCTATCTATCTATCTATCTATCTATCTATCTATCTATCTATCTATCTGTCTCTGTCTCTGTCTCTTTCCCTCTCCCCCTCTCTCTCCCTCTCTCTCTCTCTCCCTCTCCCCCCCCCTCGTCACAAACCAAATCAGATTCATAACTACAATTTAGAAAAATGTATTTGAATATATTGTGATTGAACCATTTGCATGACGACTTTGATTATAATCTTAATTAAGTACTTTTCAAGATGTTTTTATTTAACATTGTTCATCTTTAAGGTGTTTTACTGCCATTTGCTAATGCTTTTTCAGGGACCGTATTTTCCAAGCAACCATTGCATCCAGAGAAACCAAACTAATTTTGGATGGGCCATCTGTAAGCCTCCCATGGCCATCTGTATGTGCAGAGACCAACTAAATATGAGACTTTTTTGGCACCCCCTTACTTGCACAGGCATGGACAAGATCTTTGCGCTTGATTTGTGGCCATAGCATGATATTGCAATACCACATTATAGATTTAGGAAATCGTGATCATATCTTCTAATACTTAACCTCGAATTGCAGTGTCCCAGCTTGAAATCAGCAGCTGAAAGGGAATTATCAGGAATGCCTTTTTGGGAGTCTTAGTTTTTCTCATTATTTAGAGTAGACTTCAGTGTTTGCTGTTTATCTTTTGTCATCAATTTCTTAATGTATGGTCTCTACCTGTAAAACATCTGTTTGACTAAGAAAAAGGAAAGAACTAAAATAACAACAAAACTTACACAAAAAAGTGACATGAACCAGCAGAAGTCCGCAGTCACTGGCTTTAAATAAAATTCTGAAGTATTAGAGGTTTTTAAAGATTTGTCGAAAAATGTTCGTCACTTCCGTTCGCATATTTTAAGGAAGGGTTAAGCATAGGCCACCATACTTTAAGTACCGACTAACGGCCTCTTCTAATGCCAAAATCATGTGTGAATAGCACTGTGTGCTTGAGAGTTAGGCGGAAAATTTGAGATGACACTGCCTTTCAAAGCTTTAATGGATAGATTTTTATTCTAATACATCCATGCGTGTGTTTTGTAAAGTGCCTGTGTTTGTATGTGTCTGTATGCACGATACGAGACATTAATTTAAATACAATAGTTCGTTCTCTCTCTCTCTCTCTCTCTCTCTCTCTCTCTCTCTCTTCTCTGTCTCTGTCTCTGTCTCTGTCTCTGTCTCTGCCTCTGCCTCTGCCTCTCTGCTCTCTCTCTCTGCTCTGATCTCTGTCTCTACTCTCTCTCTCCTCTCTCTCTCTCTCTCTCTCTCTCTCTCTCTCTCTCTCTCTCTCTCTCTCTCTCTCTCTCTCTAACGTAAACCCCAAAAGCCTATAAACATAATACGTTAAAGCATATTATTATTCGGATACAATAACCTATCCACATTACATGGTTTTATGCCGTAGAGGAAAAATAAACCGTGAAATCAGATTCAGAACTATAATTCAGAATAACAGTAATTCAGAGATGCATTTGAGTATATTGTGAATGAACCATTTGCATAACGACTTTTTATAATCTTAATAATGTACTTTTCGAGATGTTTTCACATAACTTCGTTCATCTTTAAGGTGTTTTACTGCCAATGCATTTTCAAGGAATTCGTGTTTGCCAAGTAAATGTGTTACATTTTATTTTTTTCGCGTCCGGTTCGACAAGATCTGTGTTCTTGATTTACGGACATTATATTATATTGCAATACCATTACGAATTTAGAATATGCCGTAATGATATCTGAAACATCAGATGAGATGAAATTATAACTCATGTTCTTTCTACCGCAAGCTAGTTAACCTACGTGGCTAAAGCACAGATGTGGTGCACAAGTGTTTACTGATTTTCTTACACAATCTGTCTTTACTTTCCTTTCGCTCTCACTGCTTAGCCTGCCTGCTTGTATTATCTGCATCAAAGCCTAATTCTCACTGTCACTGCATCGTATTACTCTTGTTTTTATGGCTTTATTTACCGTAGATTAAATTTCCTAAGTCGGCCATAATGGTTCTTGCCCCATTCTTTTAGTGGCTTGTGCCTTTAAATTAAATTCATTTACCACACATTTACTGAGAGTATTCAAGACTTGGAAAAGCACTGTGTGAAACTCATTAAATCAATCTTACGTCAGACTTTTCCTTCCCATCTAACTGCACTGCATAATCATGGAAGTTTTTTTGAGCATCTTTCATTATATAATAACATCGCAGTGTTGCATTACGTATTTAGGATATGATATAATTATATCGTATATAACATGAAACGAGGTTGATATAACCACACGTATCTTCGTGACCTGAATCACTGAATTAGCACTAGAGAAAAAGTTAGTTTAGAAAGTTTATTTACCACCCTGGCTATCTGCTCAGCCAATCGTAATTACAGTTTTACATATATTCACATATATTCGACAGAGTACAGTATTGTGTGATTAATTGTAACTGTACATGGTAAAATGAAAATATGAGTCAAACATCATACAAAAGAATATTAAGGTAATATACTTTTGCCACTGTGTTTGCATAACAATGTTCTATGATTACGGACATGTTACATAATATATTTAGGATATAGTGTGAGTTTATCTTCCAGTGTATCAGATGAAATGGCATAATCACAGTTCTTTATACCTCATGTTAAGTGGTGTGGAAGGCTGTATCACATAACACCGAGATATAATGCTCAAATGTTCACTCACTTTCCTCGGGACACAGTCTACATCGAGATTCATCTGCACTTCTTGCACCTTGCAATTGCCAGTACATTCTCTAACCTCAACGAATTCTAGCAATAACCACGTCACAGAGGAGGGCTTATGCTGCTAAAGCTTCCAGACCTTTGTGAGTTGGTCAGATCTATCAGTTCTTCCCTGTGAGAACTTTTCAATGTGTGTGCAACCCTAGCAAGAGGTATCCCATTATCTATGTTTACAGAATCTTTGTATCAGCTTCTTTCGTCAATTTGTCTGCTTGGTCGTTCCTGGTATACCAACATACATTTATTTTGCTTTTAACCATTAACCATTGCCATGAGTTTTAGTTTAGTTTAGTCCTTTATTTACCACTCTGGCTAACTGCACCGGCGTGGGCAAGCTGTGGTAAAGTGAAGAGAGGACATTAAACCCCGTAGATTTTATCCGGGGACCAACAGGCATTTGTTACAAGTACTTAGGGGTCATCTATAATTTTCCTCATTATCACAAATCTACAAAGCGTACATTTTCGAGCAACCCCCCTTCCCACCCTAAAAGTGTACGTTAGCGGACGAAAAATTATGATCTATCAAGATCTCCCTATCTATACGTGGATTCAAATTTTGTGATTCTATGAAAATTATATGAATTCAAAAGAGGACTATTTGTTATATTGTTCTTTCACTGTATTAAGATCAAGAGTTTGGTGGCAGGACAATACAAAGAGCCTTCGATTCGGCCATTGACGGACCTTCCTTTTTCATTTTCAAAAAAAAAAAAAAATGGACGCCTGGTCTTAACCGCCTTCCCCGCATGTACAGTTTATACACTCATGGTCATGATGAAAATTATGGAAGACCCTTAGCTACCTTATGTCAAGAGAGGATGAGAGGTACTGCGACAGCGACAAGACCTACGCTGTGATATGTACACAAAGGCTAAATCAGTGGTAATGTCCCATATGATGGCAGATATCTTAAAACTTTCTTAAACTTTTTACTGACTTCAGTATTATACTCGAGAACCCTAGAATAATATGAACAAGATACGTAACCTTCACCAGCAGACATTAAACGCAATCTAATGCATTATGTAACTCCTATATGTTTCATAACTATAACACGCCTCTGTAGTCTCCGTAAAAGGCCGTGGAAATGATACATATATGATACCTCTAGGACTCAATTATTAAACGTTTCTCTTCCCACCATTATATATATTTTAAAAAAATCAATCATACTAATATCCAATGAGGGACATCATCGCAATAATGTACATAAACATGTATTACAAGAACAGCCATCTTCGGGAACAATTTTCGGTGACGTAAGCTCGTGTGTTTGTAGCCCTGGAAATATTACATATATAATACCTCCAAGCCTCAATCATCAAACGGCTCTATTATACCATAAAAAAAACATAATAACTTCAACCTTTTAAGGGACACCATCACTACAGCCTCCTTAAAGATCAAATTCCAAGAACAGCCATCTTTGGAGAACATATTTCGGTGACGTCAGATCGGGATCAATCACTACTGTACCGTTCCCCGTCTTCCACCGCAGCCAGGAACCACGCTCCTCGTCGCTGTGCTTTCACGGATACCAACATTACCCGATGGTTTCTACGCGGTTCGTCGTGGTTATTAGGAAAAATAACCATGGGCAAATAACCAAAATAGATGTGTATTTCGTCGTGGCGTTATGTAAAATCGGAAGGAAGTGTTCAGTCACCAGCTTAAAATACTAAAGTTTTTAGAATAGTTCGTCCTCGATTCTGTTGGACTCGCTCACGCTCACCATTTCTACAGCCAATGTGACTCCTTGGCTCTTATGACCATTCTACTGCACTGGAAGGCGCCGAGCTAATTGCGTCATAACAACTAGAATCTTGGTACAAGTAATATGTATATGTATATATACATACATACACACCCGCATATATATACATAGATATAGACGTATACACACACACACACACACACACACACATATATATATATATATATATATATATATATATATATATATATATATATATATATATTATATATGTATATATATATGCATATATATATATATATATATATATATATATATATATATATATATATATATATAGACATGTACAGATAGATAGACTTACACATACACTTATGCGCATGCAGGCACGTAAGCACAGGCACATGCAAACACACACACACACACACATATACACAGGCATATACATATATATATATATATAAAACACTCAAATGCATACAAACCCATATACATATACATTCATGTTTATATATATATTAGCCAATGTATCTATCAGTATATTACACACACACACACACACACACACACACACACACACACACACATATATATATATATATATATATATATATATATATATATATATATATATATATATATATATATATATATATATATATATATATATATACATATATATATAAGTATGTATATTTCGGCACATGATTTACACTCACAAGGTGGCATATGACAAGAGCAGGAGCGCTTGCCAAACCCTTATCAAACCAAGGTGCGCGGATCCCGACGTCACCCTTGGCCGCCGTCCAGTGCCTCGGGGATTTCCTCGTCATCTTCGTAACAAGGTTGACGTTTCAACCTTATATCTCGTGTTGAGTCACGTTGTATATATGTGAGGAGGTGTATAAATCTATGTATTCTCAAAGGCTATTTTTTTTTACCATTTTGGTGTGGTATGTATGACGAAAGATACGCTAGAATGCGCCGCCATGGACAGGTTTATGCAAGGCCTACATTTTTAATTCCGGTTTTTGTAATCTATCCATATCTAACCTTTCCTCGCAAGTGTATAATGCATAACCCTCAAAGAATCGTTACGAAGCTGACCTAAAATAGACTAGTCCAACTGCTCTGATCAATAGAGGCAGCTCGTTACGACACCGCCTGGTCGAGGACCTGCAAAGGGGTAATGCGTATAGATTTCACACTGATGGAGTCGGCTGCTCCTCTGCTGCACGCGGATGAGGCATATAACTCTGTGTAAATGGGAGGAAGTCTTTTGTCTTCAAGAGTTTCAGTTGCATGAAAACGGTAGTATGTCTGTCCAATCTGAGCAGATTTTTTTTCTCCTGTAGGTCTACAATTCCATAATGTATGTATTCTTTTGGTCATATAATGTCAATTATCATGTATTGAGATGTATGCTGACATTGAATTATGTATATGAAAATTATTCATAGGAATAAACACATACTAGTGCTAGAGTCAGCATCTATACCATTAGCAATACAATTACACCTTTGTAGCCATCAGGAGTTACAGTCAAAACAAAAGTCGGTTCAAATTCATTAATGGCAAACCCAATTACCACTGCAGGAAAACACAACAGGAACTACTGTCCTTTTGCCTTCCAATACTCGCACAAAAGCACCGCATTACTCATCACCACGCTAACATCAATCCCTCCTGTCCTCACTATATAGCGCCACAGATCATTAATTCCACCAATAGCATTTCATCCACTGTTCGGCCGACCGTCAAAAGACTATCGACATAAACATGCAGTGTAAAATTAGCGAGAAACGAGGTTAGCTTTTTAATCACTCAAATACAGAGCCGAGAATAGCTTAAGGTTAGGCTCGCTGATATCAAGGCAAGAATGCGTTGCCAAGAATTCACATTTCGTATTTGCATTTGCTTGTTAATTAGTCACGAGCAAGGTTTAATAAAACACATAGGCACTTTTTTTTAAAATCCTGTTTCCCTCGAATAGTAATTAATTTCACACCGGTTCCAAGCATACACTTCACTGCATTATCATTTACAGTGTACGGTCATGTCGTGTCGAAACCTACTGCCTTGAATCCTGTTTCAGAAATCTGTTTCATTGACGCGATATCCAGCAAATATGCGTATTTTTTCTTGATTTTATATTAATAGCAAACTCTGAATACTTCTTTCTTCGCTTTTGCAATTCCTGCCAATAATAACTAAGTGCTAATCAATAACTAATCATATATTTATAGAAGAATGAGGTTCTGAACAGAGCAGACTTTACACTAAAGCCAAATTGTTGTCAATGTGTTTTCATCAGAAACACGTTTTTAATTAACGCCAGACACATGTTCCTATTAAAATTTATTCAGAAACATCCTTACAGCCCCTTGTAATGACTGAAGTTGCTCTGAAATTATACGCAACACAAATAAAAGTTCCATGATATACATACTTCCTCTGTAGACATAAGCACGCATGCACGAGGACGGTATATATATATAACATGCGTGAGGAATAATCCAGTGCTATAAGACGCTTGAGGCTCAACCTAAGGGATGGAGTTACAGGGTTAAACTTCAGGTGCAAATACTCCGCAAGCAAAGAAGAATTTTTCCCTTTGCACATTCGGGCAGACGTCATCGACACTTGACTGTGAGATCCGGTTAAAAGATTGTCACGAGTTCAGTTTCTATCAGCGTTAATCTTTACTGTGACGTCTAATGTGAATGTGAACTGGTATACAAAATGACAAGTGTATGCATTATAATAACTGATTTCTGTCCTCTGATAATTTAGGGATTTAAAAAAAAGGATTACAAGTGATCTTCAAGGTAAATTTTGCTGTCACATTTTCTTTATGCTATTGGATATTTACTAAACCTGATTTTGAAGGATCTGTACCTAGCCGTCTATATGTTTTCAAAATAATAATTGTAATCTTACATAACATCTTAGATTTTACGTAATTCACGTTCGTCGCGAAAAAATCCTCCTTTCTTATTATGACTTTCCCATACATCTGTGGTCCAACATCGACCCCTGATATTAATCTCGGTGCCTGTCACTCATTAGCGGCGCCATCAATGAAGGAATGCCATGCCAGGGGGAGAAATGGCGACTGAATGCGCACTCGTCTCCCCGCCATGGCTTCCGCGCCGGAGGCTGGAGTCCGCCTCACGTCACGGTCTCCGCGATCAATACCCGGCGTCCGCGCATGTCACGTCGCAGGCACTGGAAACCCGCCCCAAAGCACCATTGTCTTACGAAGCACATTGGCGTGGCGTCGGGCGTTTCGAAACTGTCTCGTTTTGGCCAGGCCGTCTGCTCACTGGCACGCCTCCTGCCGCGGCCAATCAGCGGGCGCCCTGGGTGTGACGTGCGCCGTGACGTCACCCACACACCGTCACATGTGGAGAAGCACGAACGATGCGTCAGTTAAGTAATGGCTCCCGTGTTGATCGCGTCGCTGCCTCGTTCTCTCGCAACCTGTGTTAGATATGGTCAGGGGAAAAGTAAAATATGCTGGAGCCTGAGCAGCAGGCCTATCGGTGCCCTGGGCATCCGTTACAAGTCAACGCCGGCAGCGGCCTCGTTGGTGAACGAGAACGCTGCCGTGGACACAGCCTCCCAAGATGACAAAGATAAGGACCCCCTCGACCTGACCTTCTGTGATTACCGAAACGCCTTTAAGAGCAAGACGAATTCCGAATTGTTGCGCGCCCTGTTGGTCTTCCACTTGTGCAGCATACAGCCCCTGGTCGATAACAATGCGAAGGTTCGTGCCTGTCCCTCGTCAGGGCTCCTGCGGACGAAGCGAACTTCTACATGTCACATTACTGTATCGATGACCCCAGGCGATCTCTCAGTGCCGGTGCCACCTCACCAGTGGAGCCCCGAAACCTGACCTGACCTCACCCTTTAACAGGCCAGGCCGCCACCTAGTAAGATGGGATAAGATTGTCACATTTTTCATGATCTAAAAAAGCATGGGTTGAGTTGTTTACCAGTTCTTCAGATATAATGTTTGTCAGTTTTCGTATCTCTCAAAATAACAAAAAAACAAAAATAAAAAGAAATCCAGTCAGATGTCAATGAAAAAACACATACTTTTAAACAACTGAACCCGACAAGCTTTGATCACTTGAATCTCTTCATTAAAAGTAAGCGTAGGTTAAATTATAGGAAAAAAACACTGAAGAGGTAAGTGATTGTTGTCCAGGGCTGTTCCACGCCCCTTGTACCACCATCACACCTGATTTCGGCCAACAAGCGTTTCAGAAATCTTCGGACACGTAATGTGACATAGCGAAGTTTGCAGCGCCACAGTGGTTCACTGCCCTTGCCTTTGACTAACCCTTGTTCATCCACAGCTAAAAAAAATCCCTGGTATCTTCATTTCTCACATTAGGTATGAACAGCTGTCTTCGATTCAACTGGCAGGAGGCAGGACCCTTCGAAGCTGACTATGAACGTAACGTCTATCTTTTTTCTTGCTTCCTGTATATACTATTCCTAGTTTTCAGACTAATGTGTGGTTGATCTTGAACTTGAAGACTAAAATCAGAGGGGTGTTTTAACTACTTTACCTCTAGCTAAATTACCTGTACAGTTATTCAGCTAAGTGCATAATCCTGGGGGGTGTTCTTGAGGGAAAATTCTTGAATATAAACGCTCACGTAAGGTAGTAACTATAATCAAAATGTGTATATTTGTATGATGCTTAATCTCGTTCAAAGCCTACAGATGGAGACGTCAGCTGTGGTGTGTGTGGCCATATTCTATAACCAATTTTTATTTCAGGGAATGCAAGACTAAGCTGATTATTGTGTAGATACATATGTTCAAAATCTAACATCACAGGATTAAGATTTAGCAAGAATCTTCTAAAATCTTAATGCACATAGATTAGACATACACATCGATAAATATTAACACACACGTATACATGCAGATACACAAACACGCATACATAGAGATACACACTCATGCGTACAGATTCAAACACACGCATACATACATATACACACACACGCGCACACATGCATATTCATACGCACATCTACATGCATACACATGCACACACGTCATGCATATGAATACACACACGTAATACTTATGGTTACACATACATGTGTATATATACAGAAACTCATACATATACATACAACTCCATACATACAAGTACATACACACCCATACGTCCATGTACATACACACATGCATCTACATACATGTATATAAATATAACTACATGAACAGGACTATGTATACACGCAAATGGTTATACATACACGCACATTCTTTATGCATATATCTACATACACGTACATGCCTGTACATAAATGCACATGACTGTATATAAACGCACATGCCTGTATATAAACGCACATGCCTGTACATATACACTCATACACACACACACACACACACACATAATATAATATATATATATATATATATATATATATATCATATACATATACATACATATACACATATACGCCTTATGCAGACACACACATATATATACATATACACATATACGCACATTGGCTGTACATACATATGTACACACATGCATATACATATACACATATACACACATTGGCTGTACATACATATGTACACACGTACACATACGTACATAAGCATACATATACATACATACACATGCATACATAAACATACATACACATACAGACATAAACATACATACGCACATTCATACACACATATACATATACATTATACACACATATATTATAAATACACACATACATATAAATACACACATACATATAAATACACACATGCATATAAATACACACATACATATAAATACACACATACATATAAATACACACATACATATAAATACACACATGCATATAAACACACACACATGCATACATATACATATGCAAACATACATACACGTACATATACAGACATATACATATATAGATATACATATATATGCATGCACATACATATACATGTATACACATGCATATACATGCATACACATTCATATACATATGCATTTGCATACATGCACATGTATATATACATACATGCACATGTATATATACATACATACACATTTATACACATATATAGACACACACGTTTACACACACACGCACACTCACATACATCTGTATATATAGTGTAGTCTGCATATATTATGGATTTACTATTTACCATTTACGGTAATTTTGATATCTGAGAATGCTTTTTGAAGTAACATAGATGTTTGCGAGAAGAGAAGTAGGGATGAGGTGCACTTTCGAAATTTGGAGATTCTCAAGAATATGCTACGTTGATTCCATTATATAATGCAGTAAGCTTAGCGTAACGAATATGTGTAAAATTAACTTAGTTTAATGGTTGTAATAGTATGAGATTGAGGTCTGCGAAAGTAACTCGTAAAAAAATGCAGATGGTTATTTGAATATTGGTGTTCAGTTCTTAACGGTTAAGGGAGCGTTTAAATGGTTAGTTTTGAAATAAACAAAACTTCAGATTGCAATACAAAGATTCGGTTATTTTTTCATTTTCTTTTGGCTGTAGAAATCCGACTTCAGAAGCAGCTATTGTTACTCGTAGATTTTCAACTGATGATGATGATAACCTGAAGGGAAAGAGGGTTTTATCGTGCATTTATTTCCTTTCTTTGTATATATAATCATAAAACATCAAGGTTAAGGTAATATTGTCATAGGAGAGAGAGAGAGAGAGAGAGAGAGAGAGAGAGAGAGAGAGAGAGAGAGAGAGAGAGAGAGAGAGAGAGAGAGAGAGAGAGAGAGAATCTGTTACGGTGTATATAGAATGGGCATGGGGGTTCAAAGAAAAAAGTCGTTTATTTAATATTTTGTTGATTTAAGCTTTCGCCTATAACATCAGCATCGATATCTTCTCGTCAGTGCACTAAAATCATGAGATAAAGTGCATTAACGAGATTCTATCGACGCTCATGTTATAGGTGAAGGTTTAAATTGACATAAACATTTCATATAGTCTGGCAGTTTGTCCGAGACCTCCTCTGGACGCTCATCCCTTCATATAGACGACGTAGATTAAGCCGATCTATTGACGATGTATAACGATTAGATTTATTTTCGATGTTTATGTCCACGATCTGGAGTGATTCCGTGATAACGAGGTCGAACTGGTGCTATGCTATATCGATTTTCCGGCGCGTGGCCCGAGCAGCGAGGAGGCGAAGGAGGGTGAAACTGCCGCCGACGCCGCTGCTGACCTGTTCCTCCTACAGCTCTCTGTTCTTGGAGGACCCGGGTCGTTTCTTGCTTCTGAGATTCGGTCGCAGGGTTTCTGTATCTTTTCAGTATGCAGTATTTCATGTCTTGGCTTGTTCTTTGAAGGATCCGGGCCCTTTCTTGCTATTGAGATTCGGTCGCAGGGTTTTTCTATATTTTCAGCATGCAGTATTTCAGGTCCTGGCTTGTTCTTGAAGGATCCGGGCCGTTTCTTGCTATTGAGATTCGGTCGCAGGGTTTTTCTATATTTTCAGTATGCAGTATTTCAGGTCTTAGCTGGTTTCTCGTTTTCTTGGGGGTAGATTTCCTAACGGTTTTCATTCGTCAAGAGCAGTTATTTATTTAACCACCTTGTCCGATACTAAGGTAGTTTGTTTATTAAAGAATTGTCTTCATTTAAAAGCCGATAAAAACCGCTCCCTTCGTTCGAGAAAGTACACTTATCAAGCCAAGGCATATATGTGTTTCTGTATATGTATATATGCCTGTCCAACTATGTCGTTATTGGATGCTTGTTCCCGGCGCTGTGCCAGGGCCTGTTCAGATGGAGACGATACCCCCCCCCCCCCAATGTTCGTTTTAGATGCCAATGCTAATAACTTTTCCTAAATGAATATAGACAAATAATGTATCTGTCTATTTGTCTTGTCTGTTTATGTATATATTATTTGGGGGACGTAATCCGTAGGGGAAATATCAATTTATCTAATTGTGTTTGTTATGATTTCAACAAGGACTTGGTCTAATATAAAGAATATGAAAATAGGCTAGAAAATTGCCTGTGCCAATTTCAGTTATTTTAACTCAACGTAGGGTTAAGATTTTCTGTACCTATTAACCCCTTTAACTACCGCACGATCGTACACTCTCACTCACTCACTCACTCACTCACTCACTCTCACTCTCTCTCTCTCTCTCTCTCTCCTCTCTCTCTCTCTCTCTCTTCTCTCTCTCTCTCTCTCTCTCTCTCTCTCTCTCTCTCTCTCTCTCACACACACACACACACACACACACACACACACACACACACACACACACACACACACCACACACACACACACACACACACTCTCGCACGCAAACACTTCACACGCCCTCATTGCGTTTAGAAAACATATTTCACATGCTTCCCATAACATTCAACAAGCCCTTGTCGTATTGAAAACCTTTACCACCTTTGTAGCATTCCACACGGCCTTGTAGTATCGACAACATACAGCACTTGTCTTGTAACGTAACCGAAGTGTAAAGGTCATTCTCTCGTTGAATGGCCAGGGATCCTCACCGGCTGGCAAGGGGTAAGGAAAGTCTCCTTGAGAAGCTCGGACACGAAAAACACGACCCCTTTTCGAGGCTCTGGACATGCCGTAGACTCAACAGCTTATCTGGTACTCGCTTCCGTGTCTGCAATGGGAGTCTGCTGCGGTGGGGCTTCGCGAAAACGAGAACGCAAACAAATAGAAGGAAGGAAAGTGTCGAAAAAGAACAACCAAAA